CTTACTTATTACAAAACGCGGTCGTTTTATTTAGGCGGGAATTATTTACCGAATTTATTTTCTCAAGTGGTGTGGCTTCTTTATATAGTAAGGTTACAATTGACCTTCAATGTTGAATTATATCATTCTAGCTTGGATTGTTTTTTTTTTTTTTTTTTCTTTTGTGCAAACTCAGACTGTGTTGTTGTGGTAAGAACTGAACTTTCATTTGCTTTAGCATTGGCACTGTAATATAGGTTTATAAGATACATGATTTTTTATAAATATGTTAAAATGAATACAGTGTATGCCACACATTTAGTGAAGCCTTATTACAACAACAATTCTAAGTACTCTGCCTATTACATCTTGGATGGTTTACCACCAATGATCTTATCAAGAGGAGCATGGATTTTTTTTACTTGGCTTTGATCTTTTTGATATATTACTCATATACTATATAGTATACTTGGGTCTTTATACATATATTACAATTGGCCTTCAATGTTGAATTATATCATTCTAGCTTGGATTGTTTTTTGTTTTTTTTTTTTGTTTTTTTTTTTTTTGGTGCAAACTCAGACTGTGTTATTGTGGTAAGAACTGAACTTTCATTTGCTTTAGCATTGACACTGTAATATAGATTTATAAGATACATGATTTTTTTTATAAATATGCTAAAATGAATACAGTGTATGCCACACATTTAGTGAAACCTTATTACAGCAACAATTATAAGTACTCTGCCTGATGGTTTACCACCAACGATCTTATCAAGAGGAGCATGAATTTCAACTACTCTGCTTATTACATCTTTAAATACAGAAAATACATCAAGATTGATCTTAAATATTTAATGAAAGATAGCATAAAATGAAGAAATTACTTACCAAACAACAGCTTATCATTGACTTCATTAGGATCTTTCAAAGATTCATAGCTCTTTAGACGAAACATGTTAATTGGAAAATCTTTTGATTTTATTGCTTTGACACTTTGACCTCAGTTTTATAGTTCAACTTTATCATATTTTTGTGATCATTAGTTTTATACATATAGTAGTTGCTCACAACCAAAAAGTTCTTAATACAATATAGCTTCCCTTTATGAAAAATATTTTTTTATTTGTTTACATCATCCTTTTGCATGTTAACATGAATATATGTTCTCTGCTTGTAAGATTAGTCAGCAAACAGAAATATTAGGCAGTGAAAGAATTGTTTGAACCTTAAACAGTGAAAACTGTTCAAAAAATATTGGTTTAACTCTTGATCGTAGAACAAACATTCTCTACTCTTAATTTGTGTACCTCCTCTGATTTTCGGTACTTCATAACTTCTCACGCACCGCACACGTATTGCTCTCTCAATATGCAGAGGGCCAATATCTTTAACAGCAATATGCTTAGATGACATGGTATCTTTGCCCAGATTTTTGGTTCTTTGTTTGCGTATTTGCAGGTGGTTCGAACTGGAGAGATGGTGAACTTGTGAGTGAATATTGCTATCAAGGGAGCTTTATATAGAGGCTGAATATTGTTTTTCAATTTTGAATACTGTCTTGGAACTATGAAGGCTGATGAAAACGTTTCAAGACCCAATATTACATTCATTCTTTTCTTGTTTTGAAGCATTTTTTTCCAACATCAGATGTATATGTATATATTTGTGTAATATATGTATCTGTATATATGTAAATGTAGATTATAAGTTAGCTTCTCAATGTAATTATGGATCAGTAATAAGTATAATCTTTGATTATTAAAAGTCTATTAATTACATTGGTAATATACAAAGTAAACCAATGTGATGTTCCAACACATAATTGAGCCGGTAATATGACATTGAAAACTGGAAGCCAATGTGAACACAATAAATTTGGATCGATTCATTTCTCTTCATTAAACGGCACCGTATTGTGTAGGCGGGAAATTTTTTTTAGGAGGAGGTTTTTGCTCTCTCAATATGCAGAGGGCCAATATCTTTAACAGTAATATACTGAGATGGCATGGTATCTTTGCCCATATTTTTGGTTCTTTGTTTGCGTATTTTCAGGTGGTTCGAACTGGAAAGATGGTGAACTTGTGAGTGAATATTGCTATCAAGGGAGGTTTATATAGAGGCTGAATATTGTTTTTCAATTTTGAATACTGTCTTGGAACTATGAAGGCTGTTGAAAACGTTTCAAGACCCAATATTACATTCATTCTTTTCTTTTTTCGAAGCATTTTTTCCAACATCAGATGTATATGTATATATTTGTGTAATATCTGTATTGTATATATGTAAATGTAGATTATAAGTTAGCTTCTCAATGTAATTATGGATCAATAATAAGTATCATCTTTGAGTATTAGAAGTCTATTAATTACATTGGTAATATACAATGTAAACAAATGTGATGTTCCAACACATAATTGAGCCGGCAATATGACATTGAAAATTGGAAGCCAATGTGAACACAATAAATTCAGACTGATTCATTTCTCTTCATTAAACGGCACCGTATTGTGTAGGCGGAAATTTTTTTTAGGAGGATGTTGTTGCTTTATTATAATGATGATAGATAGATTATTATTATAATTATAATATATATATATATATATATATATATATATATATATATATATATATATATATATATATATATATACCCTTTTGGTCATTTTACATGTTAACCATTAATCTAAATATCTAATTTTATCAAACATCATTTTACAAATCGCTGGACAAACCCGCCAACACAATCCGCTATTCGTTAACCGCTAATACAATCCACAAACCGATGATTGCCAAACAAGTCCATAGGTAGAAAGCTTATTTGACCCTTATCCCTTAATTGAACAGTGTATACATTTATATTTATTAGTGTACTAGTTTTTCTACCCGCTTTGCGCGAATAGGATAATGCCCAATACTTATTTTTAAATAAGTATTTCAAAGTATACCAATGCAATATTATATAGAAGATGTTCATGAATATGTAATTAAGTCGGTAATTTAAAGTATATAAATGCAAGATAATATATGAGAGATTGATTATATATAACTGTCACAAAAATAAATGTTTGTAACTTTGTGATATCATTAATCTAAGTATTAAGTCTAAAAGCGATAGTCTAAGTAAATACTCTTTTTGGTTTAAATTTTTCTAATTTTCTTTTGGGTAGCATTGTTATTGTTTTCACTTTCAGTATATGTCCTTTTTTTTGTTATTGGTAGTGTGTCATGTGCAATTGTGTTATTGGTGGTATCATAGAGGGATTCATCATGCAATGAGATGATGGTGTATGAAGTTTTAGATTTGTCTTGTTGTGTATATGATTGGGATTTTAGTTGTGCTATGAACTCTTTATCTTTACAAGCACATATTGATATTTGGTAGTGGTAGTTATCCCCTACATGTTTCATATGTTGTGAGACATCTAATTCCAAATTAATTAAATGCATGTATATGTATTATTTTTTGTTGTAGCTACTAATTTATTTTTTAATTTAAGTAATAATAGCAATAATAAAGTGGGCAAATTATGTTGCGGAACCATGTCCACCTTGCAAGGTGGACACAGTTCCAAAACTGTTCATAATTATGAATATATAGTTCAAAAATTATGAACATATAGTTCTATAATTATGAACATAGAGTTGTGAACATAATTATGAATATATAGTTCTGTAATTATGAATATAGAGATTCAATAATTGTGAATTTGAAGTTAAAAAATTATGAATATATACCTTTATAATTACGAACATATAGTTCAGTAATTATGAACATATAGTTCTGTAATTGTGAATATAGAGTTTAATAATTATGAATATGAAGTTAAAAAATTATGAATATATAGCTTTATAATTATAAACATATAGTTCAGTAATTATGAACATAGAACCGTATCCACATTGCAAGGTGTACACAGTTCCACAACATAATGATTGAATAAAGTGACGTACATATTTTTCATCCACAATAATGAAATCATTGATTTTTTTTTTAATTTCCATTCGTTGTTGAAACAAATTGTTTTGAGAGTTTGTCAATGACAATTGCTGTCAATAGATGATGATAATAAATAATTCAAAATATAAGGTTACAATAGATATTATTATAATAATATAGTAAAAATTAACTTACAAATTTCTTTAGAAGTTTTCATGCATTAATAAAAGCATAATTGAAATATTAAGTTTTGTTCTCAATAATCAAAAGAAGCTTAATTAAACGAAAAAAAAAAAAAAAAAAAAAAAAACAGAACTTAAATTTATTATTTTTTTAATGAAAAAAATCAAATGATTTTCAAAGTTCTGGATTTATAATCATTGAAGGCTATGTATTTAGTCGGACTAATTATTTGACCAAAGTTTATGTTAAATATTATATTATATGTTTTTAATATATTTTAACATATTTGTAGTATATGTTTAACAGTAATCTTAACTCTAATTGGATTTAGGTTCAAACCTAAGACCTTTCTTATAAAAATTAATGAGTAAGTTAAGAATAATAAATAGTTAACGGAATATTCCGTTAATAAAGTTTATACTAACAAAATTTAAGGTTATTTAAGGAAAAAAAATAATATAATAAAGTGTAAATACAAAAAATCATTAAAAATACTAAAATCAAAATAATATAAACTATTCATTTTAAGAAACAATTAGTACCGACATTTTTTTATTCCAGTTAAGGGCCTAACATTATTGGTTCTTATTAGAATTGTAGATGTAGATGTAGATGTAGAAGATAGATATGTATGTAGATATGTGTTAGTTTATTAAAATTGGAAGTTTAGAAACGGTGTATACACTTATATTTATTAGTGTATGTGTTAGTTTATTAAAATTGGAAGTTTAGAATGCTAACATAGAAATGTCAAAAGTTTAGTTGAGCCTCCCAATATTCCCTATGTTTATTGAGTATCAATGAGTCACCAAATCTCATCATGAGTTAATAAGATAAACATCATCATAAAAAGTCTATGAAATAATCAAATAAAAGAAAAGTTTATGCAAGAATCAAAAAAAAAAAAAAAAAAAAAGGGATATGGCGTAAAATGACACATTCCATTATGAGCTTTTTAGGATCTACAAGACTACAACATATAGAAAAAGCCTTCTTACTTTATTCAATCCAAACTAAAAGCAGTAGTACCTTTAAAAGAAAGTAACAGCAATTTTGGATGACTATCACTTCAGTTGAGACAATGGGGGTATGATCCTAGAGTTCATCCTTGTATGTTGCATGCTTCGGATTGTCAGCGGAGTTCTTGATCGGGTACGAGGCCATCATGGCTATGCCACAGAGCCCCTCATTGGCCTCAACCCCGCGTTGCATCCGAATGTAACCTGTTTCTCCCCAACCAGTTCCCCATGAATTCTTCACTGTCCAATATTTTGTTCCATCAAGAGTTGTTCCATAGCCAACAATGGCTACTCCGTGGTCTAGCTCCCTGCCACAGTCTCCGGTAAACACACCCTACATGGGAACAAAGGATTTAACTCTAAATGTTGATATGAAGAACACTAGAAATTAAACGGGTTGAGGTTTTTTAAGCATATATACCTCAGAGTAGAATTGCAAATCTGAGCCACTGGCATCTATGGCAACAGACACTGGCTGGTGTGCTACAGCTTTCATCAAAGCATTTTCGTCATTTTCTGGTACATTTTCATGGCCATCAATCATCACCACAGGAGCATTCATCTTCAAAACCAAAACCAAAACCAAAACCAACAAGGCAGTAAATAAATGAAAATATTGACAGACAGTTGCTTGGTGAAGAGATTACCTTTGATGAATCACAATTCTCATCCTTGGCACTGTAAGGGTATAGTCTTTCTGTTGTTATTCCTCCTTCCTTCTTGATGAACTCATACGCGTTCTCCATTAGTCCTCCATTGCAGCCCTCATTATCCTTTTCACAATCAACAAGTTCTTGTTCAGACAAAGAGACCAGTTGCCCAGTCTTGATCATGTTGATTCCTTCAACCCCTACCACAGTTGAAAATGCCCAACAGCTACCTAAAAAATCAGTCAAATTTGTTATCTATATGTGCAAAGACAACCAAGTGTTGGCATGTTTGTTAAATCAATCTTAGTTTAGAGAAACATATATTAAGGAAAACAGCAACTTACCGCATTTTCCTTGATCTTTTATAGGAGTGACAGCACCATTCTTTCTCCAATCAATAGAGGTGGGCAGGTTTTCAGCTTTTTCGTACATAAATCCAGTCACTGCTCTGGGGCCACGGAACATCCTATGATGATTTATCTTAGAACTGTAAGCACTTCTGAACTCAAAGTTGGTCATATCCCCAAACCTGTTCAGTTTCAGCTTATAAGGCCTGTCCATCTTGTTCACCTTGTGGATGTACCTCACATTTGCTTTGAAGACATTGAAACGCTTCTGTTTCTCATCTAGGTCAGAAGAAACAGTGTGATGGCTCCTCCATCTCTCGTACAAGTCCCAGAGGCGCTCTTCTGAAGCCAAGTCCTCTTCTGTGAACTCGATGCTCTTCGTTGCTACAAACATCATGGAAAGTATGACAGAAAGCAATAAGATCTTCCCCAACTCCATAACTATGATCCCTGCAAGTTCAAGATTGAAAGACCCACAGAGAAAACAAGGATATAAATTGTAGTCTGGTTGCCATTCATGAACCTTCTTAAAGTGTCTTATCTGAAAGGCTTTTCTTGCATCATTTGGAGTTTATCATAACTTTGTAACCGAAATGTGGGGAAAAAGTGTCTTTTTCAGAGGTGAGGTTTGTCACAGTGTTCCTAGTCATGAGAAGCACGTGATCTGGGCTGGGTTTGTTAACAGAAGGCTGCGGTACACGATTTCTTGCTGGTATGGACACCTAAACTTTTGTCATTTTGGTAGTGCTATTTTTAGTACAGGCATCAGATCGGATGAATCAGCCCCTAATGGATAATGCTTACAACCTTTCACTTTCATTGCTATCAGATACACTCTAAAATGGTTAAATTTCTGTCATGGGTTCTACGTCACAGGCCTGGTGGGATTATAGGAAAAAGGAAATAGAAAGAAAGATAAGAACAATCATGAAAAGGATAAGCTGGGTTTTCTTGAGTTCCCAGAACTCCCTAGCCCCTTGATTTGGGATTAAAACTCTGCCTGCTTTTAACTAAAACTAAGCTAGGAAGCTTTCTAACATTCTCTAACTTTCTAAAGTAGGATATAGTAATAAACTAAAAACTTTCTAAACTATAATATGGTAATGAAATAGAACTCATTTCTTTCTGCGAACATAACCACGCCCCCAGAATGCATCAATTTCCTTCCATCAATTACTGAGGAAAATTAGCAGAATTGGAAAACAGTAAGGGTTAAGGATGTTAAGAACGTTACTAACCTCAACAGGAAAGGCACTAGAAAGCTCTCCACACTAAGAATCTTGGGCATTCTTTGACAGAGTCCAACTATGTGTTCTCATTCTTAAAACCATCCCTGGCATGACTGTATCACAAAATGCAGTATTTCGCTGCACCGAAATGCATAATACAAAGATTCATAATTTTGTTTACCTAGAACAAGTGCAATGTCATTCTTTAAAACAATGACTGCAAACCTACAGTTCTAGAAATTAGGTCAGCAACTCCTTGAACCTCAAAACTACATAGCTCACTTCATGAGAACACTGAATACTAGAGAATGGAAGGAGCAGACAATTCTGATTTTCGTATGAATGTATGATGAACAGTTCAGCCATACATCTGCATGATTGTATGTTCAAATGTTCAATAGAGATAAATATTTTTCCTCTGTTCTGAAGCTTTCAGAAATCTGAGTTCCAAAGCTAAACCCACCAGCAAGCAACTAAAACATAATGTCTCTGATGATTCTTAGCAGCAAGCATAATACAGTCCACGGAAAATAGAAATTACGCAACAAATAAGGGGCAAATGAAATTTATTAGTCATTTTAAAAGCGGCTAGCAGGTTTTGCAAGAGAACCTTCCAATACCCAAATACAGTCCAAGCTGATTGCAGAAAGAGTGATACAGAGATGTCCAAACTAGATTGCACTGTTGGCATTCATAACCACTAGCTTGATTTATGAAAACAAATTTTGAGTGTTCAATCCAAATGGTTCAAACAGACAGTAAAAAACTAAAGTGCAGAAATAAAATGCAGCTCTTGGCAGCTTAGGAAAGTGACTCTCGTAGTTTGTTTTCTTTGATCAGCTCTTCTCTCATCCTCCTGATCTCTGCTTCCCTCTCCATTTTCTCTTTCTGCAGTAGGCCAAATCCATTCTCATTATAAAGGTTAACTAAATTTCATTCTTCACAAAGTCTAGTTTAGTGAATAAGTGAGTTAATACCCGATTTGGTCCTTCGACTATTAGGATTTCACCACTTTGGTCCTCGACTTCCAAACTTGCTCAATTTCATCCCCAACTATGCAATTTTTACCTAAAATAGTCCTTTGTCCAAACCAAAATAGTCCTAATTAGGACCATTTTGATTAACAATTGCATAGTTGGGATGAAATTGAGCAAGTTTGGAAGTCGATGACCAAAGTGGAAGAATCAAATCCTAATAGTCAAGGGACCAAATTGGGTATTAACTCGTGAATAAGCAAAAGAAGAAAAGAAAAAATGCATCCATGAAGAAGCTCAATCATAATTTGGTAAGGAGTTTACCCCTACAAGCCAAAAAAAATTATTTTAAACACAAAAGATTCACAGCTCAGATGAAACCTATACAATGCCGAAATTAGAGGCAAAGTTCATCTCTGAAAAACAAACGATGTCAAATAAAAGCTGTATAAAGACTAAATAACCTTGCCTAAAAATTTAAAAATCTCTTAATTTTCCAATTCAAAGCACCATGTAACAAGTAAAAGCAAAACCCGATTCGAAAATATCAAATCAACAGCATTCACATGCCATGATGCCAAACAAAAGCTAAAATTTAGCATTAACACATCCTTGAATTTTCTTCCCAAGGTAAATTTTGTTTTTTGTTTTTGATTTTTTCCAAACAAAGAAAGGCGTGAAAATCAAAGTAAGATTAAGATCACATTCAGAAGCAGAGAGTAAAGAACCCTTTTCTCCGCTGTTCTTTGACTAATGCAAACCATATCAACAGGAAAACCAAACCCCATGTTCTGACTGCAGACAATCAATATAATTTTAAATTGTTTCAAGAAAACCCAATCCGATATCTGGGTTTAATAATTTGAGAGTTATAAGTGCATATAGGTAGGAGGGATAAGTAGAATAGGGGTAATAGTACCTTTTCGTCTTGGCGGAGAGCGATCCAAACATGGATTTTATCCATGGAGTGCCAGAAAACGAAGGCACCCAGTGACATCGCGAAGAACGTCCCCATTTTCACCATTTTCGTCTCACTTCTCCGATCTATGCACTGCCTGCTTTCTTCGAAAAAAACGAAATATGCATATGAATGGGAGGTTGCTTTGCCCTACATTAGATATTTAGGTGGATGCGCAAACGACGTCGTTGCAACTGTTTTTTTTTTTTTTTTTTAGTTTTTTTTCTTTTCTTTTTTCCCTATATTTTATTATTTTTAATTTGATTTATGCTTTCAAAAAAAAATTGATTTAAACTTTATCACATTTTTAGTTAAAAAACATTAAAACTAGAGAAAATAAATTTTAAAGAAAAGGGTCAAATAAGCCCCTCAAACTTTACTCAAAAGTACAATTAAGCCCTCTAATATTAAAAAAGTTCAATTGAACACTCAAATTTGTCAAAATAGATCAAATATGCCATGATTACCAGTAACAAATAGGTTACTGGTTATTCACCGCCCAAAATGCTTAGCTTCCGGCCACCTTCATTGGAAAAATGACCATTACCTTCACCCGCACGCAGTAGAAAATACAAACGGATGATCATCTTCTCCAATGGGGCTTAGAGCTAGAGCAGATTCTCCAATTGAAAACATTCTTGGCAAGTAAATAAGTCAATATTCTGGCAAAGCAGTTGAAGAACTCAAGAAATATTAAGAATAGTAACAGAATCAATATTTACACAAATTGTCCACAACCATGTAACACAACGTAACTCATAGAAATCAAACACTTCGTGTGAGAAGCAATGAACAATAATGGATCTATAAATTCAAGACAAAACAATGATTTAGGTATTCATCTGTCAAAGATCTTGTAGTCAAGCGGCATGAAGGTGACAAGAGAGAAAAGGGGGGAGAAAAGGGGAGAGAAGAGAGAAAAGGGGGAGAAGAGGACAAGGAGGAGAGAGAGGAAAAGACTTGGAAGAGAGAAAAGGGGACAAGGAGGAAAGGAGAGAACAAGAAGAAACAGAGAGAGGAAAAGACTTGGAAGAGAGAAAAGGGGACAGGAAAGAAAAGAGAGAACAAGAAGAAACAGGACAAGGAGGAAAGGAGAGAACAAGAAGAAACAGAGAGAGGAAAAGACTTGGAAGAAAGAAAAGGGGACAAAGGAGGAAAGAAGAGAACAAGAAAAAACCGAGCAAAGGATAAAGGAAAAGACCTGGAAGAGAGAAAAGGGGACAAGGAGGAAAGGAGAGAACAAGAAGAAACAGAGCAAGAAGAAACAGAGCAAAAGAGAGAGGAAAAGACTTGGAAAAAAGGAGGATACCGAATGGACTAGGAGGAAAGGAGAGAGGAAAAGACTTGGAAGAGAGACTTGGAAAAAAAGGAGGAGACCGAATGGAATAGGAGGAAAGGAGAGAGGAAAAGACTTGGAAGTGAGACTTGGAAAAAAGGAGGAGACCGAATGGACAAGGAGGAAAGGAGAGAGGAAAAGACTTGGAAGAGAGACTTGGAAAAAAGGAGGAGGGACCGAATGGACAAGGAAGAATGGACAAGGAGGAAAGGAGAGAGGAATGACTTGGAAGAGAAAAAAAGGGAAGGGGACAAGGAGGAGAGAGAGGAAAAGACTTTGAAGAGAGAAAAGGGGACAAGGAGGAAAGGAGAGAACAAGAAGAAACCGAGGAAAGGAGAGAGGAAAAGACTTGGAAAAAAAAGATGAGACCGAATGGACAAGGAGGAAAGGAGAGAGGAAAAGACTTGGAAATGGGAGGAGACCGAATGGACAAGGAGGAATGGAGAGAGGAAAAGACTTGGAAGAAAAAAAAGGGGACAAAGAGGAAAGGAGAAAAGGGGACAAGGAGGAGAGAGATCAAAAGACTTTGGAAAAAAAGGAGGGGACCGAATGGACAAGGAAGAAAGGAGAGAGGAAAATACTTGGAAGAGAGAAAAGGAGACAAGGAGGAAAGAAGAGAAGGGGACAAGGAGGAGAGAGAGGAAAAGACTTGGAAGAGAAAGAAGGGGACAAGGAGGAAAGGAGAGAGGAAAAGACGAGGAAGAGACTTGGAAGAGAGAAAAGGAAGAGAATCCCATTTGAGGAGTGCATGAAGAGGAGAAAGCTTTCAACTTTATCAGAAACCCAGGAGAGGGAGAGAGAGAGGGAGAGAGAGAGAGGGAGAGAGAGAGAGAGAGAGAGAGAGAGAGAGAGAGAGAGAGAGAGAGAAAGTCAAAGACGTGACAAAATAGAGAGAAAACAAGCAACAGAGAAGACGAGTAGATGGTTGGAGAAGACGCCGGTAGCATGACGTTCGACGGCCACTGGAATGTTGGACGAAATCTTAATGACTGACTGTTTCAGGTGAACAATCAGTCATTTGGGTTTAAGTGTATCAAAATGACAAGTTTGAATGTTTAATTGAACTTTTTTAATGTTGGGGGCTTAGTTACACTTTTGGGTAATGTTTGAGAGCTTATTCGAACATTTTTCCTAAATTTTATAACCAGCAAACTATTTTGATATCATTAAAAGCCAAAGAGCTATACGCTAGTCTATGTAAAGAGAAATGTATGGGAATGGGAAAGTGCAATAGCCACAGTTAAAAAATTATATGTTTAGAATTTACATATTTTGTACTTGCAATTAATAATTTATATGTCTGTGAATAAATTAATGGCACATAACATGGCAACTACAAACACATAATATGTTTAATGCAGACACATAAATTATTAACTAGAGACACATAATATGTTAACCATCATATGAGGAAACCATTCTGATTATTTTTCTCCTTTACTTTGGCGAAACCTATTTGTTGGTTTGTCGTGGTTTTGCCTAGGCTCTTGGGTACATCTTCATCAAATATTTTGGAGGTCAGCTTGTTTTTATTCCAGACATCTTTTGGGTATTCTCGTACTATTTATATTCATTTTCATTTTGTTTGTGGTGGTTGAATATTTTGAGTACTAGATAGTATTCATTTTAACCTGTGAATCAGAATGAATGTCTTTGGCCTAGAGTTGATGTATTTGATGATTTATGGATGTATGGCTCGTGTGATAGCCTGAACCTGAGATTTGTTATAGTGAAAACTTTGTTGGTGGTGGTCTTGTGATTTTTTCCCCAATTTAGGTTTTTTCACGTAAATTGTGTGTCCCTTGTATTGATATTTATTTTGGAGCTATTGTGTATTATCTTGTTGATAGCGTAAATTGAATCGGGGGTTACGATTACACTACCAATACGTATGTTTGTGAACAAGTAGAACAGAGTGCTCGTAGGTCAGTCGGTCGGTCTGCCGGGCGACGACTGAGTGATCTGAGGCTGAGTAGTATTACAAGTATTAAGTGGTTACAAGTAGCAGGTTACAATGTAGTGAGTAGATGTTGTAATCAGATGAAGATGAAGATATGAGAAATGAGGAGGAGACCCTCCTATTTATACTGTCTAAGTCGGTCTACGCACTTAATGCGTCTGCTACAAGTGGATCGACATGGTGTCTTCTTGTTAGCTTAGTTAGGCGGTCGCTCTGCAACTATGCGTAGGTTAACTGACCGATGAGGTGGAGCCGATACTTTTGCAGGTTGTCAGCCGTCGCTCTACATGCGCAAGTTGGCCCTTATAACTTGTCGCGTAAATTACGTCTTCGGCTCTGCAGGCTACGTCATCTTGCAGGCCGACCGGTCACCTACGGTAGACCGGTCGGATGACTTTCCGTCGGGGCGATTCCAAGGGTGATCCGAGAGCATCTTCTCTTGTCATGAAACCTATTGGTACGAACGGTACGGTTGACCACAAGTGTTTTAGTCTTGTCGAGTACATGACCGTGACGGACCGGTTGGATGACTTCTTGACGGACCGGTTCTACGGATCAGTCTTCTTGTGCGTATTTACCCATCACGAGTCCCCCACTTCTTGAATCCGTGAGAATCGTCGGGTTCGAGAAGTGAGAACTATTTCCTTCGTAATTCTTCCAATCAACTTGTCGAACAAAGTGCTATCCGGTCGGCTTACCGTAGGGTGACCGATCGTCCTACCACGCTCCTTCCGGTTTACCGGACAATTTTTGGTAATTTTCAAAAATTCCCATAAACCTTGATCGGACGGTGCATTCGCAATGTTGTGACACGTGTCGCAATCTGGGCCTTCCACGTAATCGGGCCTACCCTTCATCTCCCAAGCCCATCATCCACCTATAAATAGTCCCTTAGTATTTTTCATATTTCACTTCTACCTTCTTTGACTGACCAGGATCCCTGGAGATTTTTCTCTAATTTTGCAAGGTAAAAATCTCCTCTTTCATTTTGCTTTCCTTTCCTTTTCCTTTCCATTGCTTTTTGTTTTATTTTTTTCTTCTATTGTTCAGCCGAAAACCCTAGCTTCCAAGCAATACAACAAGATTTTTTTACTTCTATGTTCGCTTGCTCCGTCACACCGTGCCGACCGACCAGAGATTCCGACTGGCCGACTGCTCAAGCAAACCACTAGGACGACCGCTACCCATGTTTGCTTGCTGCTCCATCCTCTATGTATTTATCTCCTTCATTAAATATATGTAAGTGTATGTGTTGTTGTTTTTGCTAATTGTGATTGCCACGTCTTTGCTGCTACTGCCATCTAAGTATGTTGAATCTCTCTTCACTTTAATAAATACATGCATAAGCATATTTTTTAATGAAAAATATATGCATGCATTTGTTGTTTGTTGTTCTGCCGCTTCGTCTGTTGTTTCCCTTCACCCATCAAAAAATATATATTACACACGTGCGTATGTGTTGCTGCTGTGTGTTGTTTATTGTTCCTTGGTCGGCCGGTCAACTATTAGGCCGGTCGACCGGCCATGCCTATTCCCCATTTTTTTTTCAATTTCACCGAACGCCAAATTTCATTGCTTGTTGTTGTTGATTTTCTACCATCTGACCGACCAAGTCATTCCAGCATTGTTTATTGTTGTTGATCCATTGTCGACCGCAATCCATCATTTTATAGACCGACCGGTTACCCACGGGCTGCTTCTCTCTCTAATATATATATATATATATATATATATATATATATATATATATATATATATATATATATATATATATATATATATATATATATATAGGGTGAGGATCAGGTGAGGACCTAACCTTAGGTGAGGACGTGAGGACTAATTTGTAGGTGCCGGGTTGGACAACTGCCGAGACTTTGTAAGGCCCTTCCCATTTCCTAGCAAACTTTTCATGGTCGTTCGGTCTACTTGATTCCCTTCACCGAAGTATCGTGGTCACCGACTTGGAAGTAGCGTGGTTTCACCCGACCTTCATGGTAGGTTTTGGCGGCCTTTTGGTACTCGATCATCCTCTATGCTGCCATATCTCAATTCTCATCTATAAAGTTGAACTCTGCACCTTGTAACTCATCATTTTCTTCTGGTTGGTAGTTTCTTTCCCGAGCAGTAGGGAGCCATACTTCAATTGGCACTCTTGCTTCGAATCCATAGGTCATTGAGAAAGGTGTTTCGTTGGTTGCCCGTCGCGGAGTGGTTCTGTAGGTCCAGAGAACATATGGGAGTTCCTCCACCCAGCCTCGACTCGCGCTTTGTAACTTCTTCTTTAGTCCGTCAAGGATCGTCCGGTTGGTGTTCTCCACCTGTTCGTTGACTCGCGGGTATGCTACAGCTGTTCAGGTGTGTCTAATGCGCAGCCGAGCCATAAAGTTTTTGAATGGCTGGCTATCAAATTGCGTCCCATTGTCAGTGATCAAATAGACTGGAACCCCAAACCGAGTGATTACCTTTTCCTAAAGAAACATTTTGCATTGATGTGAGGTGATGGTTACAAGTGTTTCCGCTTCCACCCACTTGGTGAAGTAGTCGATGGCTACAATCACATATTTCTTCTAGCCGGCCGTCAATGGGAATACCCCGATCAGGTCCACTCCCCATCGTGCAAAGGGTATTACCTCGCTGATCGGTTGATAGTAAGTGGCTGGTCGGTCGGGCAACTTGTTAAATTCTTGACAGGTAGCGCATCATCGAGCATACTGCTTGCAATCCAAGTTGATTAAAGGCTAATAGTATCCTAGCAAGATGATTTTTTGTACCAACATCATGAGTGGTCCGCCGTATGCTCACAATCCATCATGAACTTCTTCAATCACAATCTTGGCTTCGTCGCTGGTTAGACAGCTCAAGAGTGGTCCGCTGTATGACCGCTTGTAGATTTTCCATCAATCAATTGGAAGTGTGGTGCTCTCAATCTGACCTTCTTTGCCCTGGTGGCGTCGTCCGGTAGGGTGCCATTGGTTATGTAGTTCTTCAGGTCATACATCTAATCTGGCTCGCTCATTTCAAC